CTGCGCACCCCCGCTTCCGCTTGCCCGTGCCTGTTCCGTTTGAAGGCTGCAAAGCAAACATCAAGGCCCAATCCGCAGCTGCAAGACTTATTCGCGACTCGGCCGTCATCGTGTGGGACGAGGCGCCCGCGGCCTCGCGCGCCATGTTCGAGGCAGTGGACGCGCGTCTGCAAGAACTCCTCGGAAACGTGACCCTTCGGGGGGGAGGCCGTAGTCTTTGGAGGAGACTTTCGTCAAATCCCTCCTGTCCTGCGCTACTGAGACCGAGACGCCATCCTCAACCGCGCCTTGGCTGCGATGCCGTGGTGGGACTCCGTCGCCGTACGGAAGTTCAGACTCCACCGGAACATGCGCGCCATTGTGGACGCAGCTTTCGCCGAATTCTGCCTCCGCGTCGGGGGCGGCGCGCGCGCCTCTCCACCCTTCGAAAACGTAGACAGAGAGTATGAGGCGTGCGTCGTCGAACTCCCCGACGCCGTTCTGGCCCCCCATTCTTGGAGACCAGAAGATTTGTTGGAGTGGGTGTACGAGGGCTTTACCACGGTAGAGCCTGCGCAATGGTACCAGTATTATGCTTCCCGTGCCGTTGTGGCGCCAACGAACGATGCTGCTGACGCCCTCAACGCCCTCATGCACGCGAGGTTGCCCCGCGATGCCGAAGTAGTGTCCCGGAGCCACGACGTGGCCATCGCCGAAGTGGATCACGGTGATACCTACACCACCGAGTTTCTCAACGGCATCCAAACAGCTGGACTCCCGCCGCACGAGTTGCGCTTGCGCAGCGGCTCCTTAGTGATCCTCCTTCGGAACTTCGCCCCGCGCCGCGGCCTGTGCAACGGAACGCGGCTGGTTGTAGAAACACTGCGGTCGTGCTTCCTCGTCGTCCGTATAGTCGCAGGCCCTTTCGCAGGCAACGTCGAGCTCATCCCGCGGATTTGTTGCGAGTCCTGCGGCGATTGCGAGCTCCCTTTTGTCCTCCGAAGACATCGATGCCCCGTGAGACCGGCCTGGGCCATTACCGTCAACAAATCGCAAGGCCAGTCCCTGCAAGGTCGTCTGGGAGTCTATCTCCCGCGGCCCGTTTTCGCGCACGGCCAACTCTACGTTGCCATCTCTCGAGGGTCGAGCTTTGAAACAGCGATGGTCTTGGTAGAAGAGACGCGTCAGACGGAGCAAGGCCTCATGCCACCTACGGGGTGTTGCCCTGCACGTGCATTCACCGCCAACATCGTAGACGCGTCATTGCTGCAGGCAGCGCGCGCACCTGGCCCTGACAGTAGCGCCGCTCGAGAGAGTGTGGACGTAGATCACAGCGAGGACGGCCAGGCACCCCGACCGAAAGAGGCAGACGTCGCCGCCGCCGCCGCGCAAGAAGTCCCTGCCCTGCACGAGACCAAATCGTGCGAGCCGGCGCGCACTCTTCACAACGAACGAGAGTCCGGCGCGGAGCTGCACGGCATGCACACAGCGTATTTTAGACACCACGCCACCGCGCAAGACACCTTCGACGAGACGGCCGCCCACACATGCACAGCGACCCACGAAGTGCTCACGCCCAATTGCGACTCACCGGCCCCCCCCGCGAAGCGCGCGCGGAGATGCCGTGCGCCGCGCCCTCCAGAGGGAAGCCCACCGCCTCCCGCTGAGACGCCCGCTGCAGAAGTTACATCGTCCGCACCTCGTTCGGCGACCACCAGCTGCATGTCTTTCCGGCCACCGCCCCTTTGTTCGACAGTGCCACGCGGAAGCTCCGCTTCCAGGCCCACGGAATCTCGCGACGCAACCATCGGTCCGCTCGCCAAGCGTGCCCGACAGCTCACCCGTGGCCCTCCTCCGTGGCTTCTCCTTCACGATAACTACTGGACTTCCCTCCCTTGAGCCGCTCTGGCCGTTCGACTCGACCCCGACGTGGTGCAATGCGCCGCAGGCCGGTGCGACGACCGCCGCGGGAACGCAGCGAGGCAGCACTTGCGGCCTCCATGCCTTCAACCACGCGCTTGCCGCAGTATCTCTTTCTACCCATCGTCCGTTCACACCTGTGGACCAGACGCGGTTTGAGCAGACAGCCCTCGCAGCCCGCATTGGGGACCGCATCGAGCACCTGCTTGAGGATCACAGTGGCAACTACGACGTGGCCGTGCTATCATGCAACTTCACGCGCGCCGACCTCTCCATGCTGCCGCTGACACCCCACGATCTGCAGCGCCGTTTGGGCTCCCCCTTTGACGACCACACGTCCACAGAAGGCCTCTTCGTCCGCGCGCGTACCTGTTCCGCGGCCCCATGTGCGGAGGCCATTGGTTCGTCGTGATCTCTGCGCCTTCCTGTTCGAACGCTCCCAGTACTAGCAACACTCTGGCCCTCTGCGACTCCCTGTTCGCGCGTCCGCACGTCATCCCGCCATCCGACTTGGATCGCATGCTCGTTATCTGGGCCTCCAAGATCGCGTGGAACTCCGTGGGCGATGTCCACTGCGACTGGCGATGTTTCCTCATAGCCAAGCAGATGTGACCGATCGGTCAGCGTGACCGCGCGCGGCACCGCGAGGACACCGAGCGCACGCTCCGGAGCCCATGATTTCCTAGGTGGCTTCCTCCTCCTTGTCCTCCTCCTCCTGCCTCTCCTCCCCCCTCCGCTCCTTGGTAAACGTCGCGCCACCTCCTCCTCCTCCTCCTCCTCCACCTCGTCCTCTCCTCCTCTTCCTCCTCCTCCCCGTCCTCCCCCACCCCTTCCTCCTCCTCCCCCTCCTCGTCCTCCTCCTGCTCTTCCTCCTCCTCCTCCTGCTCCTCCTCCTCCTCCACCTCCTCCTCCTCCTCCTTCCTCGTCTTCCTCCTCTCCTCCTCCTCCTCCTCCTCCTCCTGCTCCTCCTCCTCCTCTCCTCCTCCTCTTCCTCCTCCTCCTCCTCCTCCTGCTTCTCCTCCTCCTCCTGCTCCTCCTTCTCCTCCTCCTCCTCCCCTCCTCCCTCCTTTCCTCCTCCTCCCCCCTCCTCCCCCACCCTCCTCCTCCTCCCACTCCCCTTCCCCACTCCTCCCCTCCTCCCCCTCCTCCCTCTTCCTCCTCCTCCTCCTCCTCCTCCACCTCCTCCTCTTCCTCCTCCTCCTCCTCCTCCTGCTCCTCCCTCCTCCTCCACCCAGGATGCCTCAACGCCGTGTCTCACGTTGCTCCTTCGAGTGGCCTCACCGGGCACCAGGGGCCATGATTTTCCAACCAGCCTTCGTCGTGGCCTCGCCGAAGGCCCCGGCGCCCGCGGCCGCGCTGCTCCGCGGCGGACCATACCCATCGAAGCTCCTGCTTCGGCAGCCGCCGCGTCGAGGTTTGTGGGCTTCGGCGTTGGAGGCACCACCCACCACGGCGCCGTTCTGAGCCCTTGGGCGTCCAAAAACAGATCCAGGATGAAAAACTGCATCGGAAGAGCCTGAGAAGGAGTCTGGCGAATGATTTTGCCAGGTTTTCGCCAGAGGAGGAGGATCAGCCTCTGTGAAGGGGCAGGCCAGGATGCGTGGGGCCACCAAGAGATGGAGCTCCGCCCTCCATCCCCTCCTTCCCCCCCCCCACTCGCCTCCTTCGTGCATTCTTCAGAGGACTCTCAGAGACTCCTGGCGCCTCTTGGGCACTCTTCGGCGCCAGGGAGCCGTGACCACCGGAGCGATACTTGTCTCGGCGCCCGCTGGCGCAGCGGTACCGTGACTAGAACCAAAGCGCGCGCGTAGCGCGCGCGTGGTTCTAGTATGTATGTACATATATATTTATATATATATATAGAGTAATAATTAACACCCGGGACCCAGGGGAAATGGGATCCGCAGAGCACCGCAAGTGAAGCATCATGCTATCCACGGGGCTGTGGATCTGCAGACCAATTCTATGATTCTACGGGGGAGGGTGGTCTTCCCAGGATGAAGAGGGGAAGGATGAGGGAGGGGGGGCCTGGGGGCCAGGCCCCCCCTCCCATCCTGGGAGCGGACCCCCCGCAGGTTTGTTGCTGTGCTCATAGGCATGGCGTGGTTTGAAAGGCACGCGTTGGTTCTCACAAACGTGTTGTGGCGCTCGCAGTCGTCGTCGTCGTCGTCGTCGTCGTCGTCGTCGTCGTCGTCGTCGTCGTCGTCGTCGTCGTCGTCGTCGTCCGTCGTCCGTAGTCCGTCGTCCGACGTCCGTCGTCCGTCGTCCGTCGCCGTCGCCGTCGCCGTCGCCGTCGTCGTCGTCGTCGTCGTCGTCGTCGTCGTCGTCGTCGTAGTCGTCGTCTTCGTCGCCGTCGCCGTCGTCGTCGTCGTCGTCGTCGTCGTCGTCGTCACGTCGTCCAATGCAGCTGGCGATGGTTCGACCACTCTTCCACAGATGCAAAGTGCGGTGGCTCTTTTTTTCTTCCTTCTGGCTGGTGCTCGGTGGAAACGCGATGCGGTGAACGCGCCTAATGAGGATGCGCGCCTTCTCCAGGGTACTCCGGTGTCCTTGCCTCTGCGGCCTGTCCTTTGCCGCTTTCATTGGCCAGCTTTTGCAACACAAATTCCAATTTCGGTGTCCACGGGTCTTGCGTCCTTATCACCCGTCCTTAATGCACGTATCGATTGTAGTTCACGCAGGCAGCGTGGTGCACACCGGCGCTGCGTTGCACACGGCTGTTGCTGTGTACACAGGCGGTGTGGTGTACGCAAGCGCTGTGGTGCACGCAGGCACTGTGGTGTACACCGACGCTGTGTTGCACGCGGCTGCTGTGGTGTACACAGGCGTTGTGGTGTACGCAGGAGTTCTGCTGCACGCGTGTAGAATCCTCAGGCGCTCCAATTTCCAGAGGGATTCTTTCAAAATGTGTATATAAAACGTTAGTTTTCTGTGGAATCAAGAGGCGCCCGAGTTTCAATTTCCAGAGGGCTTCCTTTTTCAAACAACGGTTTTTCTGTGGAGTCCAGAGGCGTTTCGTTTTCCACAGCGAATCTTTTTCAAACACTGTGTACAAATGGGGTTATGTGGAGTCCAGAGGCGCTCCATTTCCCATAGGGCTTCTTTTATGAATCCTATGACGAGCAGTGGTTGTTTGTAGAAGCCTATTGTAAACAACGGTTGCTGCAGTATGCACTGGCACTGCGGTGTGCATGGGCGACGTGGTGCTGCAATGCACGCGGCTGTTGTGGTGTATCAAGAGGCCCCCAAGAGAGCTCCGTAGCCATTTTGGTCGAAGCCGTTTTGGCTCGACGCAGGACCATCGTCCCTAATCCATATCAGGTTGACAGACCAGGACCTTCGCAATCCTTCCGCACCTAGTAGGCACCATGGTCGGAGAAAGCTTCCCAGTTCTTCCAGCTTGGTTCTTCTACATCTACCACGTCATCGGTGGTTGGATCATTGGGCGTACCGTTACATTTTGTCCACACCCGATCCCAGTCCTGACTGTGTTCTTTGGTATCCAGGGTCTGATCGAACATTATGCTGACAAGTTCCCCACAGTTGCAAAGTTGAACGCACCATTAACACTGGTGCTCCTGGGGTTCCTCGGCTATTGGTTGTACACTCTGTTCGCCATCAGCACAGCACCGCATTGGGTTCTTTGGGCCGCCATCGCCATCTATCTTGCCGTTGTGGGTATCGCAAAGACTATGGAGCTTGGATTTCCGAAGGACACAGTTGAAGAGCAGGTTTCGGCCCTCAAGGACCCGAACTACAACTTTCTGGCACTTTTGGCTCCACAACTTCTTCACGGCTTTCTTCCTCTTCCTATCGGCCACTTGCCCAGGCGTCTTCCCGAAGGATGCATTGATTGACTTTGGCGGGACGGCTCTTGCAGAGGTACGCGAAGAAGATACGGAGCTCCCCTCGGCACACATGGTTGTGTTGTTCGGTGTATGCCTCATGTCCTTTGCCGTGGGCGTCGGGATCGGAGGCCGATGGTGCCTTCGGCGTGACGTCGCACAGGTCGATGCCACTTCTCTTCTTGTAGCGTGATTCGTCGAGGCGAGCGTCACTGTTGTCAGGTGCGCCTGGCGACGGGGGCTGGGTTCCCCGCCCCAGCTGCCCCTCCCCCGCAACGTTCCCCCTCGAGCCCTGCTCCCCGCCGCGACGCTCTGAGCGGCCGCCGTGCGCCCTGGGGCGCGGCGCAGCGCCGAGGCCAGAAGAAAGCAGAGGCCCCCCAAGAGAGCGCAGGCACGGGCTTCCGAGACCACCTTCCGGCATGCAGGGGGGCTTCCAGCCGGGAGCTCCGGCTCGGCGCGTCTCGCTCCGCTGGCTCTGGCCCGCCGCGCTGCGGCGCGACGCGCTGTCCACTTCCCGGTTCCCAGGCGTCCACGTCCCGAGCCTCTCCCAGCCTCCTGCCCCGCGGAGCGGAGCGACGTGGCATCCGCTCGCGAGGGGGCAGCGCGTCGCGGGGGCCGCCGCGGCGACACGCGATGCAAAAGGTCCTGACCCTACACGGGAGACTTGGGCCTCCCACCACGCTCCCGAGGCCTCTCGAAAGGTCACGCGAGGGGAAACCAGACCGCCCGGGAGCGTTGGTGCCGCCTGGGGCTGGCGGCCGGGGCCCCTAACGAGCATCTGCAGTGTTCAAGGCAGATGCCCTCGAAGGGGCCTGGGGACACCCCACCCAGCGCCTACGGTGGCGGATAGGGGGCCGTTTGGGGGCCTTTTGGGGCCTGGAGACGATGTAGAGGATCATCTTGGGGTGGAGGGCTCCAACTGTCAGTTCGTGTTTCCCCTTCTTGGGTCCCTCTTGGGGCCTCTTGGGCTCCTCTTGGAGGCCTTGGGTGCCGTCTTGGGGCGATATCGGGGGCGCTCTTAAGACCGAGAAGCCGAGCATGCGGACATCATATAACAGCACATGGTGTCCCAGGGGTCTTGACCTCTTGGGCACGGCCCCCAGGGCCTCCCAGACGGCCCAAGAGGCCCCCAAGAGAGCTCCGTAGCCATTTTGGTCGAAGCCGTTTTGGCTCGACGCAGGACCATCATCCCTAATCCATATCAGGTCGACAGACCAGGACCTTCGCAATCCCTCCGCAACTAGTAGGCACCATGGTCGGAGAAAGCTTCCCAGTTCTTCCAGCTTGGTTCTTCTACATCTACCACGTCATCGGTGGTTGGATCATTGGGCGTACCGTTACATTTTGTCCACACCCGATCCCAGTCCTGACTGTGTTCTTTGGTATCCAGGGTCTGATCGAACATTATGCTGACAAGTTCCCCACAGTTGCAAAGTTGAACGCACCATTAACACTGGTGCTCCTGGGGTTCCTCGGCTATTGGTTGTACACTCTGTTCGCCATCAGCACAGCACCGCATTGGGTTCTTTGGGCCGCCATCGCCATCTATCTTGCCGTTGTGGGTATCGCAAAGACTATGGAGCTTGGATTTCCGAAGGACACAGTTGAAGAGCAGGTTTCGGCCCTCAAGGACCCGAACTACAACTTCTGGCACTTTTGGCTCCACAACTTCTTCACGGCTTTCTTCCTCTTCCTATCGGCCACTTGCCCAGGCGTCTTCCCGAAAGATGCATTGATTGACTTTGGCGGGACGGCTCTTGCAGAGGTACGCGAACAAGACGCGGAGCTCCCCTCGGCACACATGGTTGTGTTGTTCGGTGTATGCCTCATGTCCTTTGCCGTGGGCGTCGGGATCGGAGGCCGATGGTGCCTTCGGCGTGACGTCGCACAGGTCGATGCCACTTCTCTTCTTGTAGCGTGATTCGTCAAGGCGAGCGTCACTGTTGTCAGGTGCGCCTGGCGACGGGGGCTGGGTTCCCCGCCCCAGCTGCCCCTCCCCCGCAACGTTCCCCCTCAAGCCCTGCTCCCCGCCGCGACGCTCTGAGCGGCCGCCGTGCGCCGCGGCGTGGCGCAGCGCCGAGGCAAGAAAAAGCAGAGGCCCCCCAAGAGAGCGCAAGCACGGGCTTTCGAGACCACCTTCCGGCATGCAGGGGGCTTCCGGCCGGGAGCTCTGGCTCGGCGCCATCAACGCGAGTGCCATCAGCGCAGCTGCAGTGGCAGCGTCGAGCGCGCCATCCGCACGGGCGCTGCTGCCCGCCCACGGCCCGCCCGCGGGGGCCCACCGCCGCCCGGCCCGCCCGTCCGGGCTCGTTGGGCCGGCTCGGCCGCGCCGCTCTTTGCCCGCGGCGGGGGCCCCCGAGCGGTGCGGTGACCACACCGTGCGGTGATCGGAGGGCACCAACTACGGTAGGTTTGCGTCGTGTCGACCAGCGGCGACCCCAGCGCGGGCGTTCAAGGTTGAACGCCGTCGGCGACCCAGAATCGATCGATGTTGAACGATCGGACGTTGCGGCAGCGGCCGATCGTTCAAGGTTAAACGATCCCTGCGGTGTCAAAAACCAACGCTGGGGTCGGCACAAAACGAACCTGCCGTATACGCCTACACCGATCTTGGCCAGGCCAATCCTGCGCCCAGGATCGGTGTATATGCCTTTCTGCCTGGGGCAGGAAGGCATCTACACCGATCCTGGGCCCAGGATTGGCCTGGCCAAGATCGGTGTAGGTGTATAGTTGGTGCCGTCCCAGGTGGGGATTCGGGGCGGCGGTCTTCATGGTCAGGCGTCTCCCAGGGTCGGAAGCAGCAGAAAGCACCGGCGGCAGTCGCCCGCCTCTCTTCGGAACGTTGCCCACGTGTTTTCGCCCCGGCGGGGAGGGGGAATCCGTCTGGTTCGCCCGGGAGCCTGCGCGCGAGGAGAGCGGCCCCCTCCAGAGAGGACGCGCTCGTGAGCGCAGAGGACGACAGTCGAGGGATGGGGACATGCGTGCAAGAGGGCTCGCGAGCCGCGGAGAGCGAGCAGTCGCAGAATCATCGCTCTTGCTGTGAAGAGAAGGAAAGAGAGAGAGAGAGAGAGAAAAACAAAAATAATCAGAGAGAGGGAGAGAGAGAGAGAGGGAGAGAGAATCAGAGAGAGAGAGAGAGAGGAACAACATACCTTGAGGCGTGCCCGGCGCGCCGCGCAGCCTGCCCGTGCCAGGCCGCTCGGGGCCTCCTGCCCGGCATGCTGGCCGTGGTGCAGCAGTTCGAGCGCAGCCCGGCGGAGCTCGCCGAGTGCCTGCAGGCGTTCGTGCAGGCCCCGCCGCCGCGGGGCTTCGCAGGCCTAGAGGTTGACACCGACACCGATATCGGCGTTGCGCCTCTACCGAGGGACGGGGATCCCGATCTCGGCGATGGTGTTGATCTCTTCCGGCTTCCGAGGCGATCGAAAAATGTACCAGCAGCGCCGGAATCCAGGATCTTCCTCCCCTTGTGGAGGCAGCCCCCTTGTGTTGGTGTTGGTGCCCATCTCCAGGCCTCCAAAAGGGCCTCTCCCGCTCCGGGCGCCCCCGCTGCCGGCCTGGGGCCTCTGGCGGCCCGGCCCGCCCCCGTCGGAGGCGACGGCGAGAGGGGGGCGGGCAGCCCATGGGGGATGCGGCACGGCACGCATTCGCCCGGGAGCCTCGCCTGAGGTGCCAATTTTCCACCGCCGCCTACCACTCAGGTAGGACGGGGGAGAAGGAAGAATGGGAAGGTCTTCCTCCTCCTCCTCCTCCTCTTCCTCCTCCCTCCTACCTGTGATAGTGGTGGTGGAACGTCAGCCCATCATCGCCGAAGGCATGGACCGTTGGCGCCCCAGGATACCTGTACTGCCCTCCCCTGGGCTATTCGCCCCCTACGTCGCCCCCGACCCTGGGAGGCACGGGCCGCTCGGGCGCCTCGGAGGCCTTTTTGTCTCCGCACCGGGGGGCTCGTGTGTGTCTGCTGTGGTGTGGTCGGTTCGACCTGCAAGAGCTGCAAGGTGGTTGCAGCCCGCTTGCAGGGAGCCTGCAAGTGGGTTGCAAGTCCCTGCTCCAAGTCTGAGTAAGAGTCGCGGGCCCAACCTGGAGCAGCTCTAGGCGGACCTGCAAGCCGCTTGCAAGTGCCTTTAGCCAGTGTGCTGCAACCACGGTGCAACTGTTGCAAGTCACAGCGAGCACTGCAGTGGAGGCTTCCTTTTCCTCACTGGGGGCTTTGCTCTGTCTGTCCCCAGACCCCTGACGTCGTGATTTTTTCACAGGGTCGCCCCCCAGATGTCTGGGCCCCTTCCCGGGCACCGGTTTTTCATCCCGAGCCGTTCTTTGACGATCCCGAGGCCCGGGAGGGGCCCCGGGAGGCCGAAAATAGGGAGAAACCTCCCGTCGTGTCATGGGTCCCTTCTCAGACGCGGCCAGCCATTGTTCCCGCGGGGGACCGCCAGAAACCGCCAGAGGTCCCTGGAGACCGCCAGAAGGCCGCCGAAGACCGCCCAACGCTGCTGGGTAACAAGGGGTCGAGTGCGTCGTTCTGTTGGCGGCAGTGAAACCAGGCGTTTTTGCTATATTCCGTTAAGTCGGGCATGTCCCTCTATAGGAGGGATATTCACAAGTTGTGAAACATCGCCTGGGGGCTTTTTTGTTTATGTTGTTGTTTTTGGTTTGCTCAAAATAGTTTTCGACATTTTTTCATTTTTCTTCCAAAATCCGCATGTCGGAGGACATGCCCGACCTAAGCCTTCGGAGATTTGTGTCCTCAGTGGAAACGCCGCCTCCGGTGGGACACGCTGTTCCCCCCCGGGGTCACTGCAGCATGGCTCACCTCCCACGGCAGGAAGGGCTTCCTGGGCGCCCGCTGGGCCCCTCCCGCTCTGGGGCGCCCCTGGGGAGGGACGTCGTTCTCCTGAGGCGCAGCGGCGCCAGGACTTCCGCAGAGCTCTCGCCTGGGCCTGCCGCTTCGCAAGCCTCCTCGCCTCGCTCGGCGGCGACATGCGAACCCGCAGGGCCACGAAGGGCACGAAGTAGGCCACGAAGGGCGACAGCGGGGACACGAAGGGAATGCGTATGGGGCCACGAAGAGCGCGTACGAGCGGGGGCCACGAAGTGCAGATAATGCGGGGCCACAGAAGGCAACTATGGGGCCACTTAGGGTAGCAACTGGGCCACGTAGGACAGTGAGGGGGACACACATGGCGACAGCGGGGCCACGAAGGGCATGCACATGGGGCCACAACGGGCGCGACTCCTGGGTGCCTGGGTGTCGGGAGCGCGGCGCTTGGGCAAATTGCACGAAATTCCAACGCAAGGCCATTCTTCAGTAAGTTGCAAGCAAATCGCCAGCGAGAGAGCGACTCCAGAGCGCCGGGAGAGCGATTCCTGAATAAATTGTAAGGAAGTCCCAAGCGAGAGCGCGATTCCTGAATAAAATGCGATGAATTCTCGGGCGGGAGCGGGGGTCCTGCCTAAATTCTAAGGAAGTCTCAAGCGGGAGCCGTTGTTGTTGTAACCTGGGGGCCAGGGGCCCAGTTTGAGCATCACGACTTTCCTTGTCAAAAAAACAGGGTGCGAGGGTCGAGGGGCACACTTTGATTGAGAAAAAGCAGTATGCACCGGTGGGGGGATCAACAATAATTATTCTTCAGAATGAGAATTCAACAACAACATCAACAGCAACAACACCAACAACAACAGCAACAGCAACAGCAACAGCAACAACACCACCACCACCAACAACAACAACACAACAACAACAACACCAATAACAACACCACCAACAGCAATAACAACAACAGCAACAGCAACAACATCACCAACACCAACACCAACACCACCAACAACAACACCAGCGGCAACAACAACACCACCACCAACAACAACACCAACAACAACAACAGCAGCAACAACAACAACAACAACAACAATTCACCAGGGTCAGCGGCGACCCGTGGCACGCCGGTGGCGATCAAGGGCCGTTTTCGTGACCCAGCCGCCCTGGTCGTCGACCTCGCCGTTACTCCAAGCCTCACTCGTGGCCAGACGGGCCTCGCGGACGCCACGAAGCCAGGCGAGACCCGCTCGGCGCGCGGCCGCCGTGGCGGGCGTCGGACTGCCCGCCTCGGCCTCCGTGCGCCCGCCTGGCCTCCGCAGGTTGCGGCCTGCGTCGAGGTGGGAGCCGTCGCCGCGCGCCGCCACGTGCCGCTGCAGCACCTGGAGCCGCGCCTTGCCGACGGTCTCGGCGAACTTCTCCACGTCGTGCTTCACCTGCACCTGGACCTCGGGCACGTCCGCAGCAGCGTGGGAGGCGTCGCTCGGGCCCGGGGCAGCGGCCACCCGCTCCTCAGCGGCCCAGGCGAGAGGCCGGGCGGGGGGGAGGGCTTCGACCACCCGCATGTCTGCGGCCTCCCGCTCAAGCCCGCTGCGACCTCCCTTTCGGGTCTGCCCTGGCTCTTGGCTTCGGGGCTCCCCGAGGACGGCCGAGCGCCCCCGAAAAACCGCACGCGGGCTCCGCGTCGCGCTCCACCTCGGGTTCCCCTCCCTGACGTCGTCCTGCCCCTTCGGGCCGCCGTCCGAGCCGATGTGGCACTGCAGCACGTCCGACACCCCGTTTGGCAGGGCGGTGAGGGGCAAGACGTGGGGCTCGACGTCGGACTGGCCGTCGGGCGACGCGTCGGGCGACGCGTCGGGCGACGTCTCCCTGCCGTCAACCCCAGCGCTGGGCTGACACGGCCAGTTGAGCCCGCAGGCGAACTCGCATTTAAGCACTCCTTGCGCCACCAGCGGGGCCCCGACGCCAGAGGGGGCGGCGCCTGCGGACTCCCCGCACTGCGCACCCGCTCCGCCAAGCGAAAACGAAAGCCCGCAGCAGGCGGTGCACTGCCCGCCGCACGACGCCCTCGAGGCCCCACCTCCGCCCACTCGGCGCAGCCTCGGCCGCCGAACGTACAGCCGGCTGCCGACGGCACGGCGGCAACGCGGACGCACAGTGGCGCCGCCTGGCCCTGCTGGCGCTGCGCCTCGCCGTGGCCACACCAGCCCTCGCCCGAGCAGCTGCCTTCGCCTCCGCCGCCCCATGCCGCTGTAGGCGGTTGAGAGCGGGCCAGCGCACGCGAGCGATGCGCGATGCTCGCACCTCGGCTCGCAGCGCAGTGCAGCCCCGCCTAGCGCCTGGCGCGCTGCACCTGCCGAAGGGGCGCCCGCTGCTCGGGCTCCCCCGCCAGCACGCCTTCCAGCGCCGGCGGCCTCCTCCTCCTCCTCCTCCTCCTCCTCCTCCTCCTCCTCCTCCTCCTCCTCCTCCGACCAGCTGGCCGTGCAGGGCCTCGCCAGGCGCCGCGATGTCGCCCCGCCTTGCGGCCAGAGCCACCGCCTGCGCCGCAGCCGCCGCGTGCCGCGCGCGCTCGCCGTCGAGCTGCACCTCGAGCGTCTGCACCTGGCCGGCGCCACGACACGGCTCAGGGCGGCAGCCAGGCGCCCAGCGGCCTCCTGGCGCGCCGCCTCCCTCCGCTCGCGGCGCGCTGGCCAGGGAGAGGTTCGAGCTTCTCCGCCAGCGCCTCGCTGCTCCGCTGCCGCACGGGCAGCCCTGCAGGCAGCCGTCGCCACTTGCCGCTCAGCGGCCGTCCGCCCGCGAGCTGTCTCCACGCGTGGGTCAGAAGACCGACATGGGGGAGAAGGGCGCGCGCGCGAAGCAGCTTGAGCCAAAATGGCTACGGAGGAGGAGGAGGAGGAGGAGGAGGAGGAGGAGGAGGAGGAGGGGCAGCAGGGGCACGATGCAGGCAGCTCGATGGGCGGTTGGGGTAGGTTTCGGCATTCGTCGAACACGTGGCGAAACCCGAACCCTACCCCCACCTCCCATCGATTCAGGAGAATCGACGGTTGGTGGGGGTACGATTCGGGTGTTGCCACCTGCTCGTGAACCATAGCAGCCCCAGATCTCCCGCGCGACATATTCTAAGCCGCTCGAGGCGCAAAGTTCTCATGCCCCAGCGCCTTACTTTGCTTTGGGGCATAAGAACTGATATGGCTGCTGATGTTCCCTCCGTCGCCATCCCCTTTCCGTCGTCGTCGGTCGTCGTCGTCATCGTCGGTCGTCGGTCGTCGTCGTCGTCGTCGCCGTCGTCGGGCGTCGTCGCCAATTAATTTCTCGCCCGCGGATCGGCCAACAAAATGGCTGGTATTTCAAGGCACCTTTTGGGGGCGAAAAGGTGGCTTGAAATACATGGGTGTTTTTTCCAAAAGGGGTGTGAAAGCGAAAGCAAGAAGCGAATTTGGAATATGTCGGCCGTCGCGGGCCCCAAACAGCAAGTTG